AAAGTAAACTCATGTTAGAATGTTACATATTTATTCCAGCTAGATTATTATCATGTTAGATGATTTTTTTTCGACTATAGAACACTAAAAAATGAACTTTGTTTTGATGGAACCCCGATGTTTATAAGCATTATTGAAAAAAAAAATAATTAAAGAAAAATAACTAAGTATGTTGAAAATATTTAATATGACCATAAAATTTTTCATCGTTTTATCTGTAATAATCTTAAAATTAAGTTTTTTTGTCAGTTAAGTTTTTAAAACAAAAATGAACTGTTATAAATTTTGGAACATAGTTATCTGGGGATCATATTAGCGAATGTACCATTATTGTTGAATTTAGTATTAATTTTGAATTAAAAGAAAAAAAGATGTAGAATTCCAAGGTAATTTTTAAAAAATTCTGTTCATAATTTAATCAATAGATTGATTTTTTAAAATTTATTTCTGTAATTTATTTTTCCATTTATTATTAACATTAAATAAATGATGATTTATTGATTGAATATAAATATAATAGTGCTTTTCAATAATCGTTAAAGGTTTAACCTCGTTATTCCCCGGAATCCCTGTCATTCCCACACGGATTACTGGGGTTCTTCGGAACACCTTTTGGGAACCGCTGATTTATTATTTGGCAGTGTCTTCGAAACCTGTAAAATATAAGATAAATACCCCAGTTACAATAATGGAAATATTGTTGGCGTCATTCTAGAATAAGTTGATTCTTCGGACAAAATTTGGCGATGCAATTCTGAGATCAGCATTTGTTGAAAGGTTATTTAGTATTATACACTTGTTCGTTTTTAGATTTTTGAAAAATATGCCTGTTTATGAGTAACTGAAGTTAAAAAGATTTTCCAGTTTCATCCAAAGAAGTATTCATCATTTTATCAAATAATAAAATTAAATATTTAAGAATTTAATAACAGGCAAATGTGCAGTATTAAATTACCCATTCAAAATTATTAATCTGGTTATTTGATTGTTTTATTAGTTAGGGAAGAAATCCAAAGATATTCTTAAAGTCAACTGACGCAAATTCTTTTAATCTCACAAAACGGCTCTTCATTTCCTCCCTCCCTCTTTTTATTTCTTTGGAAACATATAATCTTGCCGAATGATAGTATATCATCAAAAGTTTGTCAAGAACAATGAACTCATCGAAATTCGAAAATTTAACCTCGATTCCAAGATTGGAAGGGAATTTTAATTTGAACTCTTAATTTACATGTAATGTAGCCTTTTTTTTCAAAGTGGAAGATACTTTTTCGTTAAAAAATATTTTATTTACAAATCTGTTTTAATTAGCAAGATATTTTCGGTGATATTTTTAGTTAAATTGGTAAATTCTAAATCTTTGGGTAAGAAAGAATTGAACTTTAATGAAATTATTCACATACAATATTTTTTTTAAAATCAACTCGCATCAGCTATACTTTTTGTATTTTTACCTATTTAATTTTCAAATGTTAAATATTACGCACACCTATTAATTCCTTATAAAAATTTCATAAAAATTTGCTGAATTCTGGTTAATAAAACCAAAATATAGGGTATTTAAACTATTCATTTGTTTATTTTTCAGTTCCTACGGTAACAATTAACGGGTAATTCTGATTTTTAGAATTATAGTTCTTATTACAACACATTTAGTAAAAAGTATTGAACTGAAAATAAAATTTAATTAAAAAATTGGTTTTTATGCCATGCTCTAAGGTATCATGAAAAAATACCAAATTTTACTACATTTAAAAAATTTTATCGCATGTTATAAAACCATGTTTTATTATTAATTTTACTAAATTATTTTTTATTAATATCATTAACATTTATTAATTATATAAATATTATATTATTGATTAATTATATTATTATTAATTAAGTTTACCAAAGCCAAAAATTATAATTTATTAGCCAAAAATTATTGATAAAAATTATCGAGCTTTTTAGTATTCCCATAGAGGCAGAAACACGGTAAATTTTATCATTTTCTAGTAGTTTCATACTTTTTTTTCTTAGTGAAAAACGTTTAAAATATTATCATTTTAGTCCAAAAGTTATGGCATAACATTAACATATTAATTTATTAATTTCCTGTGTTTTTGACTTTTTATTAATGAGAAAAATGTGTGTTGAGTTTTATTTCGATGCAAATATTCATGATATAAGTACTAGAAAACTTGTTGAAAGGGACTCATTTTCAATGAGGCAATAGTTTTATCCTTAACAAATAATTTTCAACCAATTTCCTAAAATATTAGCAGTTGTTAAACACAGGAATGTTTTGGTAGTATTTTAAATCGTATATTAATTTAATGTTAAGTATTGGATTTCAGTTCATTATTTTGCCCAATATGCAACATATTGTAAGAAGAAATTTAATATAAAACCTCTAAATATATCGAAATCTATACTGTAAGGAATTCTGGATCGAATTACGTTGTAAAGTACCAACACTTAGGGAGTATCATCCTTAAAATCCATTTTGCCGCGAAATTCATTTTTACCTTAAAATATTACACCATAAATTTTACAGTAATATTTATTTAATTAGAGTGATTAAGAAATTTTACTGTAAATGTACAGTAAAAATTACGGTTTGTCAAACTTTTTGTATTTATTCAACAGCAGACATAATAAAAAGTACCGGTGGTACTTTTTAATATGTTTGCTAGTCGTAATTTATCTCGTAATTTATCCGTAATTTATCCGTTATTTACGTAATTTTATCCGTAATTTATGTCGGATTTTTCTGTAATTTATCCCGAATTGTTTACAGTGTACACCATTGATGCAGAAAATTTTTTGACTAAATCTATATAATCTGAAGGAGTTATCGAGCAAATGGATAGTCATTTAAACAGACATCTTGACTTAATATTAAAGTAATATAAATTTAAGAAGCCTTTGTGTGTTTTTTTATATAAACTTTACAGATGCAAATCTTATTTTATATGTGTTAGATAATCTCAGTTATTACAATGGTCTTTGAATGACTGCATTAGGATCTCAGACAAATTTGAATCTATGATGATTGAGCTGCAGATTGACTCAGTGCACTCTGCTACCAGGCTAACATAGTGCATAAAATTATGTTAATTTATGAATTTAAAAACATATAAAGTAATTAATCCAGAGCAACTGAAGCGGTAAGATATTACTAGATTAAAAAAGCTGCATTGGCTACAAAAATATGCAAATGAAAATAAAAGCCGACATGTTTCAAGCGTGATGCCAGACGTGATTGAGAAGAAACAAAAGTAATTTGAAATATAAAACGTAAAGTTATCAACGAAAAGTGGAAAATAAAAGTAACAGACAAAACTGGAAAAACTGCAGTAGCTGAGGATGAAACAAAAATAAAGCTAAGAGAACTGAACCAATAAAATCACTCTGACTCTCTTTTTTCTTTTAAACTCTTTGTTTTACTCTTGTCTATTAAAGTTTTTCTAGTTTTGTTTCTCCTAATTATTTTCCATTTTTCGTTGGCAACTTTACACTTTATATTTCAAATCATTTCTCTTTCTTCTCTTTCACGTCTGGCAAGTCTTGAGATAGGGCGCCCATTTTTGAAAGCCTGAAACATGTTAACTGTATACATTTCAAGCCAATAAAGTGTTTTTTCTAATCACATGCTGTTAAGTTTTGGGCTCTTTCCAAACACTTTCTATCCTTTAATAACTTTTCAAATGAATGTAAGAAGCAATTAACTCATCTTTAGGAAAAGTAAAAATTATTGAAAAATTTTATTGAAATTAAATTGTGTAGTTGCTTTTCCTCCTTCAATTTTAAATTATGTTAAAAACGTTAAATTAAGTTTTAAAAAAAGACTAATTTTTTCTGCTCTCACTTACTTAAAAATTCTTTCTTTTAATTTTAAAAGCTTTTAATTAAAAAATATTTAGCAAATATTTTTCTGCAATACCATTCATTCTCAGATTAAATGTATAATTATTAGTCAAAATTTCGTTTCCATTTCATCAATTTGCATGCATGTAAAATTTAAAAATAATGTTATTCCTTGTGTTTAAGTATTCAATCATGTTTTTATGAATTGAACTTTGACTAATTTAGTTTCATAGAAACCTATACATCCTGAATCTTTACTAAAAGGGATGGGGCAAATATTTTCCTATTGTTACAAGAAAAGTACTTTTTGAAAATTTCTGGAATATTTGAGAAAATTATTTCGCCCAATGTAAAATTCAATGATTCCTCTAAATCTTAAATCATCTAAATTTACGTATATATATNTATATATATGGTGGCAACTGTATGGTGGTCAAGGAGTTGGCCTCGTGCTGGGAATCCGAAGTTCGAAATCCGCTTTGGGCAAGGGAGTGATTTAAATCTCTGTTCTGTCTATTCTATCTGCCTAGTTGTGTTGTACCACCTATGTAGTGCCAATGATAAAGTGATTATTTGAAAACGTAAATATACAATATGTACCTTGAAGTTTTTTTTTCTTCTTTTTTTTGGAAAAAATAGAATGATTAAATATTTCTTTAATTTCGACGAAATTCGTTTCTTCGATGAAGTGACGATACTGATTTAGTCATTATGACGAACTTTTTGCTTGGAGCATATACCAGGAAAGAATTTTATCTAAAACGAAGAAAGTTTCGTGATATTTGAGAATCCATTTCTTACAATGTAAGATAATATTTTGTCAAACCGTTGGTTCATTGTATTTCCTTTGGGTTAATAAGACCTATGTATATTATTTTAATTGACGGAATAAAAGTTTAATTGACTTCTAAAAGCCATTTATTATAAATAATTTATTGACATTTTATAGCTTTTACAGTTTACATTTCGAGTTCAAATAATTGAATGAATAATGGGGGAAAAATTGAAATATCAACAATTAGAAAAGCACTAAACCGATGCCCACATTTCACAAGGTTGTACAATTGTTGTTTGCAACTGAAAAATATTCACATAACGAAAGAAATTAAATAACTCAATAGAAGTTCAAATAATTTTATTTGTTTATTTTTTTTAAATTACGATAAAATTTCCAGAATTTTTCTCTCTTCTTTACATTTGAAATTGAAATCACTAATCCACTCACGTTCCTTATTTTAAAAACGTAATCTCTTTGACAAAGTTCAGTCAATAAATATCTTACAATTCAAAGAGTAATAAAAGATTTTTGTTCCATATGCGCTATTCAAAACGTTCCTTTTTTTCACCATAAAGAACTGTAAAGTTTACTTTGAAATCAATTTTCTTTCGTTCCAATAACAGGTTATCTAGTTAAACTTTCCAAGCTCACATAATTACAAGTCCTTTACTCAAATATTCTACATGTTCCTTTGCTTTCATTCTCAAAGAAACAATACTGGAGCTTCTAGGATCTAGACCATTATCGTCTGGCTTAGTATCAGTTGGTCCCAGGGACAAATTCACCGGTCCCGGGTGCTCCAGAGGTATAGATGGTGCTCCAGAAGCAAGCTCAGCCATACTGCAAGGGACTGTTAATGTTGTGGCTGGTGCTGCTGGTGTAAGGTAGCTAGGATACACAGAAGGATGCCTGTTCAAGAAGCCTGGTAGTCCAGCAGCTAAAGAAGATCCTATAAGTGGTGATGCTAATGACCAGGGGTCAAGTGAAATTTGGCTGGGACCTGTAGACGTGACTACAGATGTTGGAGGAGAGCAGGATCCAAGAGCTAAACTAGTCATTGGAGATTGAGGTCGACCTCCAGTTAGAGAATAATCACCAGAGCAATGACCAAGAGTACGAAGAGCGTTTTGGCTTTCTAGTTTTTCTTGGCGGCGCCATTTGGCTCGACGATTTTGAAACCATACCTGAAAAAAATACAAGAAGTTAAGTCTTCAAAAACTTAAGGATTAGATGGCATATTTTTTATCAGCATGCATTGTTTCAATACTTGCCAATGACATACATTCAGAAACAATGGCTGATTTTTCATGTTTGATCGGAACTGTTACCTCTTTTTTTTAAACATTTTCTTCAGTTAATCAGGTTAAGACATCGTAGCTTACATAATCAGGAATAACATTTCTTAAATACAAAATCAGAAAAATCGGTACAACGTATTATCAATCATAATATTATATAGACTGGAACTTTAAGTGTAATGCTGAACTATTGTCAAATTTGAAATATAATATCGTGTATTCAAATTAAAGAACTTTCACGTTATTATAATTCACTTTGTCATTTTAATAAGATTGCGTTAAATTTGAACGATTCTATCATTTTAATCGTTCCAATTTTTTTCACAGCCTAAAAGAAATTTAAACTTCAATTCAATAATAGATCATAAATGTAATTTTTACTTAAGATGAACTTTAATTTTATCAATTATAAATAAATAAACGACAAAACTTTTGTTGTTTTATAATAAAATTGTCTTATAATTAATTTAGAATACTTTATTAATATAAAATATTATACAGTTTTGCTCTACTCTTGCAGAATGAATAACCAAGATTCATTGATTCTTTGACGAATCTAATTTAAAGCAATGACATTATAAAAGAAACTACATCCGTGTTTTTTCTCTATTAAGACATTATTTAACTCTTATATTTTGAACTTAAATACAAGTTTAAAAATGTAATTTTATATTAAAACCCTTGCAAAAATTAAGGCGTTTTCGTGGTTGTTTTGACGTTGACATGCGTAACAAAATACACATGAGCTATAAAATAAGGTTTTATTTTGCATCAAAAGTAACCTCATCAATAAACTTCAATTTCAACCTCATTTACATCTCATAAAAATAACCTCATGTATAGCTCAACAATACTTTAAGTTGTAATCAGGTGGAATTATTCACACATCAAATATGCTTAGTTGCTTAAATTGTAGAAAAATAACGTGTACACCTCAAAAACAACCTCCCTTAACTTGATTCCTTTATGGTTGATTTCTATCAACTTTAAAATAACCTCAAATGTGAATAAAACAACTTCATACACTTTGATTATAAACCTTGAGAGGTTCATTTTTCAAGGTTTTTTTAATTATTCTTTTTAAAATCAATTTTAAATAAACCTCAAGTTAACCTCAATGCCTCAAAAGTACCTTAAATTTTTGCAAGGGAACTTTTGAAATTTAATTATCTGCTATTGCTTCACCAATTACAATCAATTTTCACTAATGGAAAAATTAAATGATTCAGTATGAATAGTCACATTATGATAATGAATAGTTACGTAAATCAGCATAAAATGTGAATTTCAAATATAATTAGTTCAAAGCTCCGTATAGAAATAGATACCCATGTAAAACGAGCTATACTAACTAATTCTTAAATAAAAATCTACAGATAAGAGTTTAGACATTTAATTTAACTTTGAGGTACTCAATAGAAAAATGGATGTCAAAAGAGTGAATATAAGTTAAATCTGCTTTTGAGAAAAACCACATATGGGAGATATATTTTCTAACTAGAAAATACAAGAGTAATAGAATAGCTCGGAATGTTATTAGATTTCAAATTATTTGTCTAAAATGCTATTTTCCTGTAGAGTCTGAAGGCGGAACTGATAGATAAAAGTAAGGTTACCCTAGGGATAAAATGAGCAACTCGAATTGAAGTAAAATAAAATCATTTGAAAGAGTTTTCCTCTCTTAAAAAATTTATTTTAACTTCAAGCGAAAGAAACCTGGTGTAAACACAAGAATCTTGCTTATTTGTTGTTTTCTCCATCTATCGGATTGGAAGTTGTATCTAATTTTGAAAAGAGAATACTCAGCTATGGCCTATTACAAAGAGAAAGTAAAAAAAAAATAGGATGCCAAGTCAGAATTTTTCCTTCACTGCAAAATTGAACCTTTTATTTCCGTCTATCAACAACCCATTGAAGAGAAATAAGTCTTTATATGGAATTCTTTTTTTATTTTTATTTTTCATTCGTTCCATAATGATTCTTTTCTTTTCCGGCTTCATATAAAATCAAAGTCAATAAAAATAAGCCCGACCCTTACTAAGCGACTTTACCCACACCACCCCTATACCCAGCCGGCCCTTCGGTCTTTGTTGAACTACGGCTAACAAGACAAGGGCAAACACTTTACGGATTTTGGATTGGGGTACAATCGAAGTGACGTCACTTTTAGTAACTCTGATGATGATTTTCGGTTGGACAGACACTATATATGTGCCTGGAATTTACTATACTCTCTCCGTGTTTATTTGAATTAAGAAAAAAGATGAAGAGATATGTAAAATAAAATTAAGTTGTAGAGTTTTGGAAGAAAATGTTAAGTGACATGTTAGTAAACTAAAAAAATGATAATAATTAAAAAATATATTAAAATATCTGCAAAACTGCTTTTTCATTGAAAGCAACATTATTTAAAGACTTCGCAGAATAGGTTAATGTTTGGTATTTCTCGCTAAGTATTTCACCAAGTTTGATACGTAAATCAATTTAAATCAATCTGTTAATTGAGATAAAATCAATTTTGAAAATAAGTTGTAGAGTTTTGGAATAAAATATTAACTGACATGTTAGTAAGCTAAAAAAAAAGGATAATAATTTGAAAATGTATTGAAATATCTACAAAACTGCTTTCTCATTGAAACCAACATTATATAAAGACTTCGCAGAATAAGTTAATATTTGGTATTTTTCATTAAGTGTTTCACTAAGTTTGATGCTACGATCCCGAAAGTTTGAGTGTTTCTAAGCTTCCAATTTATATGCAATTAAGCTTAATTCTTCATAAATTAATCCTGGTTAATAAAATCAAAATATACGGTACGTAACACATTTATTTGGGTAATTTTTCCGCTCGTATTGTAATGGTTTACCAGAAATTCTGGTTTTCAAAATTATAGTTTTTATTACCACGCAGTTTGCAAAAAATACAAAACTGCAAAGCATATTTAACCGAATCTATGGTTTTTATGGCATGCTCTAATGTATCATTTTACTACATTTACTAAGTTTTAGCTCATATTATAAAACAATATTCTATTGTTAATTTTACCAAAATCGTTACTAAAGCGTTTCGATAAAAATTAGTTTGCTTTTTGGTGTTCTCATACAGTCAGAATAACGATAAATATTCCCATATTCTGGTTGTTTCAACCATAATTTTTTCTCAGAGTATATTTCTCTATTTCAGTTGACAATCCTTGTTTGTGGGATTATTAATAACGTCACAACGATATGAGATTCGGGGAGGTAGATTTAAAAAATTTTGTATAAGCTTCGCTAGTTATTTTTTGTCTAATTTAAATGTAGGTTTTATAGCAATGGAACTTTTCTCTGAAGATTCATTTGGCAAATACACTGTAAAAAATTACATATCAAATTACAGTAAAAAGTTCTGTCATTCTAAGTGCAGCATGGGTTAAATCTATTTTACCGTAAAAATTTATACCGCTATTTTTAGAGTAATGTTTAAACAATGATTCAGTGAGCTAATAATAACTACAATATTACTGCGAAAATTACGGTATATCAGATTCTTGTTCCATAAAACTTTACGGTAAAAGTGGATATGACGGTAAAAAGTACTAGTGTTGGTACTTTTTAAAGTAATTTGATCCGGAATTTTTTACAGTGTAATTTGAGGATTTACCTTTTAATCTATTAATAATTTATCTAGTATTAGGAATCTTGTATTTTTTGTTTTAATTTTTTTTTAAGTAAAACAAATAACGAACTTTTCCTATTTTTTTTTATCTATTTAAGATTTATTTATTGTTTGTAACTTTTGTTTGAATACTCTCTCTGACACGTTTTTTAGGAAATCTGACTGTCTTTTTTTTTATTCTAATAGGAATTGTAAATGTCTTAAGTTTTCACTTAAGAGCATTTCATAATAATAAAACTTAATAAGTTAAGAGCTTAAGCACCTGAAGTATTTAAAACAAACGACAGCTACACTGCAAAAAATTTTGATGTGTCTTTGCCCCATTTTCGCGGTTAAAATTTGCTAAAATTTTTTGCAGTGCATTTAGTCACTTTTTTCATTGGCTTTTTTACGGCTATATTTCAATTTATAAATTTTTTGTTTGTTTCTTTACTGAAAACGCATATTTTATGCGCGTTTGAATCAATTTAATGGTTACAATGCGAAAACAATTCTTTTAAAGAACAAGCACATTTTTGGTAATATATGTGCAATGTGCAATATTTCTTTGAATCAATTGTCATTTATTCAATCTTTACGACTTTTTGCACTGTAATTACAGTTCTGTACTTAAAAATTTATTTAGCTAAAATTTATTTAGCTAAAAATTTATATTACCTAAACAACAGAAATGGTGGTAACTACTCACTTAAATTTTTTACTGTGCTTAAACTTTCTCTATTCCTCAAACCATCCATCCCCTTATTTTACCATCCAGCAGCAGTGTTTGCAATATCTCTCCTGACAGTCCAACAGCTTATTTATTCCCAAAAGTATAAAATATCTAACAATTAAAGTTTTCAATCTTTTTTAATATCAAAAATTCCTTAATACTTTGATTTCCGACTGTAAAAAGTACTACATCTTTTTTATATTGTTGAAAAAAGTCCAGTTTCTGGCATTATCGAATTAACAAAGTATCGAACATAGCAATCGTGTGAATAAGTTTTACCTGATTTTTTAAAATCTATGTTTAAATTTTTTTCATACTTATGAAAATTTTTGCATTCAAAATCCATTTTTTTCTCCTTTTAAATTAAGTCAGATAATGTATGTATTCTGACGATTAACCATTGCATATATCAAAAGGTTTGCAGAATATCACAGAGTTATTTTAATAACAAGTTGGTTACTTTAATAAAGGTGGAAATTAAATATTTTTCTGATTGCAACGGTTCTAAAACGGCTGTTTTTTACTTAGTAAAATTACTTTGACTTATACTTTATAATACCATTTGTAGTTAATTTGAAAATAAATTACATTAACGAAGACTTGGCTTGAATATTGTTTCAATAAAATGTTTCTACTAAATTAATCTTATAGCAACATTAATGCAATAAACCAAATAAAATATACAATTGTTCCTTAGTTAGCTGCATTAGAAGAAAATATTAATATGAATAATATAATAAAATAGGAAACATTTCTTCGGAGTAAACATTTCAATGCATAATATTTTTTTACATGAGTAAATGCAAAAAGTTTTTCGTGACAGCATTTATAAAATGCAATTTTTAGGTAAAACTATTTAATTACAACAAATATATGAAGATCTTGAGTAATAAAAAGTTAGTGTCACATCTTTTACAAAGGTGACATTTTTTACATCAAGCTTTTCTTTGGTATTGTTTCCAGATATTTCAAAATGTTTCAAACTTACACTAGATGGCAGCACAATCTAGAGAAATATTGTTGATATTGAAACGTGGTGTTTTTCATCATAACATACTTCTGAGCAAATTTAAAATTTTTCTAATTATTACATATCCAAAGTCCTTCATTTATTCCAGAAATTTGTTTAATGTATCGAAATGCTTTTCCATTAGAACATTTAAGAGTTGAAAAAAATCGTTATTTTTAATTACCTGTACTCTTACTTCTGGCAAATTGACCTTCATTGCCAGCTCTTCCCTACTATAGACATCAGGATAGTGTGACTTTTCGAACGCTCTCTCAAGCTCATGTAATTGATAAGTAGTAAAAGTGGTTCTGTTTCTCCTATGTTTCTTTTTTGGACCTTCCTCGGATCCACTATCTCCATCTGCTTTATTACCCCCACCATTAGAGTCGGTATGAGAATTTGAAGACATATGATTATCATCTGGACTTCCTAAAGAGAACATAAAAATATGTGAATAATGTTAATTATAAAATTATCTCAAACATGTGTAATAATACTTATTACAATTACAGGTATTTGTAAAAAAATTGAACATGTTTTAGCAACAAGTAAAGTTCTTTTTTCCCGCTGGGTTTAATAAAAAATATTTTATGCGCTTTCGAGATATTTACAGTCGTTAGAATGAAAATGAGACACCGTAAATGTCTTTTGATATTGAAATAGGTTGAATAGTTTCTAAGAAAAAAAAAAAAAAAAAAAAAAAAAAAAACAGAACCCCTAGAAAATTTGTAATGCAGAAAATGTTTCAACAACTGCAAATTAAATTTTTTCTCTTTTTCATTCCAAATTGCTTATTGGAAAGAAATCACCATGCTTATGGAGAAGAAAAAGAAATATTTATTCAATTAAATTAAGTTACAAAATAACAATAGTCATAATTGTTTTTCATAAAATTATTTTTGGTGATAAAATTTTACAAATAAGTTGATTTTGTTTTCTTGAATTCCTAAGATATGGCGAAAGTTCTCCTGATAAAATTACTGGCCATATCTTTCAGTTTGCGGTCAACCTATTGTCCCTCTAATTTTGAGAGTCTGAAATCTGAACTTACAAACAAAAAAGTTTCACTAATTCAGAGCAATACCTCTTTATGTTTATGTCACGTTTATAGTTTCCGTTTGTTGCATCAAGGGTAATTAAAAGTCATTTATTTTTATAATGACTGTGGCACAAAAGTCAGGATTTCGCTGTCATATTTATATAATGTAAATTTAAAACTTCTAAAGTTTAAAATTATGTGTGAAAACACAAGGAATGCTTCTTCTTTTTCTTAGGAGAAAAAGATTCGAAGAACTCTGTCTAAATAAAGCTTAAGATAAATTAATTTGCAGCATGAAAAGATTCAACTTGGAAGCGTATTAAGCTTATAGCAAATTTGAATGAGCCAATTGAAATATATTTCAGTACCCTCCAAAACTTCTAACAGTAAGCAATTATTATTATTATTATTTTTTTTTTTAAATTTGGAAAACATGTGAAAGTCAAATTATATATTACAGTAATCATTAATAAAGAAGTTCATGCATGGTGATCGGAATAAGAAAAAATAAGTTTTTGTTCATGTCGACAATTTCTCGTGAAAATCTGAAATAGACTTATTTATAGCAAATAACATAGCCTCAAAAAGAAAAAAGAAAGAAAACTCAAACAAAATGGTTTAATTTTGTTATAAAATCCTGAAACTTACACCCTTTTATTTAATCCCAAATCTAAGAAACTTGGGTATCGCAAATAATATAGTTTTATGTTGTACAACAGTTGAAAGCTAACTTAAGCGTAGTTTTTCACAGTTATTATTAAGGCCCAGATATTGATGACTTTTGCATTTTTTTGAATTTTTGGACAATTTTCGTGCTTTAGAGCATTTTTTTAGATTTATAGGGCATTTTTCTTTAAATTTTGGGGCGTATTTTGTATTTTAAAGCATTTTTTTAGTTTCTTCTTAATTTTTTCCAATTTTAATTTTTTTTATCAATTTTTATTATTACACTGGCTTCTAAACAATGAAGAAAATCTCTAGGATATTAACAGGTGAAGCAACATCTTTTCAAATTGAAGAAGAATTGCCAGTAAGTGAGTGTCAGTTTCAAGTACGCACGAATAACATCAGTAGACATTGAAAGAAGCTTCTCCAGGTATAAAAATTTACTTTCAGACAAGAGAATCTCGTTTTCATTTCAAAATATCAAAAAACATTTAATAATCCAATGTAATTCTGATATTTAGTAATATTATGAGATGGAAGTTTTGTATTCATTAAAGTTTCTATGCAAAATGAAAATGTTTTGGAGTCAATATATTTTCTTTTTTTTTTTGTTATTTTAGGATAAAAAACATATTTTTCAAACTTTAATTAACGTAGAACAATTATTGCATTGCTTTATATTTTTTGAAATGACTCATAATAATTTTAAAGAGTAAAGCATTGTTTCAGTTCAATATTTGTACCTTATTTAAGTCATGTCATAAGGCATTTTTAGAGCAATTTTTGCATTTTTGGGGCATTTTTAAGGGCATTTTTTGCACTTTTTAAGTGCATTAGTTGAGATTTTTTAGGTAATTAAAATCCGGGCTCTAGTCATTATTAATGAAGAAGTTCAAGTATGATAATCGGAAAAAATATATGTTCTTGTTTATGTAGAAAATTTCACACCTAATACGTGAAATAAGCTCATAAACATCTATTCAAATGCAGACAACAATAGCCTTTGCGTTCTCAAAGTACAAACTTAAAAAAAGAAACCTCAAACAAGCTAGTTCAACTTCGTTATCGGATCTTGGAAGAAAAAAAAATATTTCACCCTTTTGCCTGACCCCAAAATCAAGGCAAATTGGGTATCTCAAAGCGTGTGCCCGACTACATTATCCTAGCAAACTGTCGCCACCGCAAAACGGCGGAGGCTTTTCAAGATTTTTATCTTCTCTTCTGAAGAAAAGGGCGATTTGTTGGGATACAAGACTTCCCCTGGTGCCTGATCCCTTTTTGAAAAGAGGAACCCTAATCGCTCCCTTGTCCTTAATCACAGTCGGTGATTTGCCGCCTATGTACCATTCTTTACCATGCTCCATTGTCACCTTGCCTGTCGGTGGGAGGCAAATACAAGAGGACGCCGAAGCTGACATCATGAGGAAATTAGAACTTATTTTAGAACTAGAGTACCGCTGGTACTTATTTCCAGATTAGTGGGTACCTGAGGAGTGGCGAGAATCACAAAAGATAGCCGTCCTCCTAACCAGATAAATATGCATGGTTGGTTTGACTTGTTGAATATTTTCAAGATGTATAATTGATGATAAAGTGAAGGATAAGTTTTTTGTAGTGGATAAATAGTGCCCAGGCTTGGTTGTGTGACGTTGAAATTTAATTAGTTGGAATTCGAGCGAAAAATCTTTTTTTATTGATTTCCTGTTCATTGATATATAGCTTTTGGGTTATACAAAGTATAGACAATTAGTTAACAATTCGGTACAAAATTTAAAAAATATGAAATAAAATTTATAAAATGAAAATTTATTTTCAGCAAAAAAAAATTAGTTATTAAATCTAGATTTTTATTAATACCAATTTTTTTAAAAAGCACATATTACTAAGATTAAATACACTTTGATTATTTCAGTTGCTATGAAGATAGCATTTTTGTCATAGTTTTGAGGGTTAAATGATGATAGAACAAGCAAGATGATGAACTAATGAAAGTAACTAGTAGTATAATTACACAGTTTTGCAGATATTCTTCTGTAAACAGTCACAAAAGCCATCTTAGTGTGATTTCATATTCAAATAAAGATGGTTTATGCAAAAAGTTGTTGTATGTTGATGCAGATAAAAATATTTTGTTAATTTTACTAATGACAAAATAAATGGTACAAATTTTTTTTGAGAAGTAACATGCACTGCAGCTGCTTAAAGTAAGCTAAAGCAATTAAATGTTTAGTGATATTAGGATCTACTGGAGTCTTTATTAAAAGTATCGTTTCATAATAATTTATTAATAAATAAAAATATTTAAAAAAATAGTACTTCATCATTGAATTATGTACCATCTCAACATATGTACAGTCTCAAATTTCTTTCCATACGTGTGTAAATTTATGTATATATATATATATATATATATATACTTATTAAAATTATAATTTTTTTTTCAATACTGAACAAAAATATTACGTTTATCACATTATTAATCGTAATATTTTCGCAATCACTTTGCTCTGAATTTGAGTGAAAAAATTAAAATTCTTTGCATTTCTTTGTAGTTTTTTTTTAATTCTTCTAAAAAGATTATTTTAAAATAACTCAACGTGTTTGGGGCATGTGTTTTGAAAATTTTTAAACAAGAGCATCGAAACAAAAGTTTTTATATATATATCAAATAACATAGCCTCAAAAA